GATTTTCATTTTAGAGATTTAATTAACATACTTCACCGTTTATTTCAATCCAACTATTCCTTCAGGAGCACATTTTATTTTCACATAAAAGGGCACATGACCCTTGTGTTGGATCATAATGCACCGTTTTAGTCTGTAACCAAAGCCAAATCCTGAGATCTGATTTCGTATTACCTTTTTACGGTAATTTTAACGAAACTCACTTGATATACTCTTCCCGATTCTTTTGCAAATAGATCAAACGCTCGGCTAGTTGTCTTGCATCCGGAAAGTCATCGACGGATATAAAAGAGTTCGGTGGAATGTCGAGTCCTTGAAAGGGCATTCGACTCAACACCACCGGCACGACCAAATGCTTTATGTTCCAGAATTTTTCTGTCACATATTGTCTGCAAACCGAGTTCTCAAATGCGAGATAGAAGAAGTGCTTTTCTGGAATAGCCCAAATACGTTTCGAGCATTTATAAATATTTAGGGGTACCTAGATTGTCTTCCAGGCATTTATCTCCCGCGCAAGGTCTTTCATAGCAGGCTCCAAATTTCGTAATGTTCATGTACTGTTGCAATCGTTCAGTAACATCTTCTCGATGTGACGGGGTATGACAATTAGTGACAAACTGTACAGCTAGCTCGGTTTTGCGCATGACCTTTTCATGAACCTAAAACAACATTTAGAAAAACAAATTTTTCGCTTTCAATTTTTTATTAAAAATTGTCTTTTTAGCCAAAGTAGTGATTGGTTGTTCTAATTCCATAAAGTTTACAAAACATAACGAAACACTAATAGATGTTCATATTCAATTTTCTTCCAAATTTTTCAATAAATGGAATGTCTGTTCAACATATTGTACAGTTACACATTGCGGACTGCATATTACGCGATTAAAAAATCGACCGAAATATTTCCGACTGCTAAAAACGGCGTTTTTAGAGCAGAATCTTTGGTGTCCTATGTTTATACCTCTTACAGGCTTTCAACACTGCTGGTTTCGAATGCGAGATTAACATTGGTTTAGTACCATTTTACAAAATAGCATTATTCCATGGCCAAAATCATTAGAATGCCGGAAAGCATTTCTACGCCATAACTTACCTCAATAAGTAACCTAAACCAAAATTCAAAAAGGTGGAAATCTCCGCCGAAAACCATTAATACAGTCTTTTGAATGCTTGAACAGTTGAACGATTGTTCAAAATTTGTTTATACGATATGTGGATAGTCGAATGTCTCGCAATTTAGGTTTTTTGATGAAAATTACTTTTTTCCTATTTCGGTACACTGACATTTTGAAACAAGGTTTCAAACGTAAGTACCAAATGTATCTCTTTTCAACTTTCACTAAACTTTTTACAATTACACTCTACTTGCTCTGGCTTCCAAATTTCCTCTGGCCGAGTCACGCCTGGCACAATGCTTTGGAAACTGCCGTAGGGAACGAAAATGTCGCTGTCTGTCCTGTAGGTCATCGTAATATTGAAGAAGTTTGTACGAACATTCGTATGTTTGCTGTGCGAGTGAAAAGGTGATTCGTTTAAAAAGAACACATTGAGTTGGTTAGGGTTATTTGGCGGTAATTCCTTGTGGTCCAGATCTCGAACATGGAATAGAACAATTGTTGCGTTTGGGATCAATGTTCTGAAATGAAGTTCTTTGAGTGCTGCAAAATTTTGGTTTTATAGTACATTTCATTATTGTAAAAATTTGAAAAAAATAAAACAGCTTGGTAGGAAAAATTAAAAGTTCATTTGAAATGAATTTTTATCTATAAACAATTTCCGAACAGAGATCATGTGAACTTTGTTCTCGAGATAATCCTTTGCGCCATATCCCACGCATTCCAAGAAAGATATATTTTAATACGTTATTAGATTCACTTTGGCATAAAAACCTGATCAAAAGTGCAAACGTTATGCAGACCATCTAGATTACCTCGTTGGTCTGAGTCTAAAAAGCAAATTACCAATTTCTGGTATTCTTCCTATTTTGGCTATACAAATTGGAAATATGCTAGAAACTGTTGCTACTGTTTTCCCAATGCCATAACTGACATCTAATTCGCAGCTGAATTCAGGTTGAAAATTTATAAGGATGCAAATTTTTAGCCACTTCTTTTTTTGCGAAATATCAACAGTATGACCTATCATTTCCAGAGCATATGTCAATCTAACACACATACCGTTACGTACCTGTTGTCTGTGTAAGTGCAGCGATATGGGCATGTACTTTGATTAAACGCTACATTCTCCATTCCATTCGCCCATAATCCACGAAGAAAAGTGTCCATAAGCTGTTGGCCGAAAAGTCCAGTCCAACCCAAAATTATAGGAGGTTGGCCAACAATTTTATCCGAGATTTTACTATCCAATAGCTCCGGATGCGTTGAATTTGCAGTAAGGATTATGTCATTGTCTGTGAAACCGTTACTCTAAAATAAAGATTGAAAGTTTTTAAGCAGTTTTAAAATTAGGATATAGCAAAAATGACTATAGCAAAAATTATCCAATTTTATCAGAATTTTTATGGCAGAACAAACCTAGACTAACATTAAGAATTGACGTGGAGCTTTCTCTAGTCAAGAATTAGCCAACTAAGAACTGCTCAGAAAAAAATCATATGTTTCCTGTGAATTTTTGGGAAAAAAGTAAATTTTTAAAATAATTTCTCCGAACCTGTAGTCTGGGCAATAATTGCAGTAGGCCAAGAAACTAGCGGTTGTTTCTTTCTCTTTAATTCAATTGAAATTTAATTAGGTTTTTGAAAGAAGAAAGTTAAGAAAATTTTATAAAATCGCCCTTAATAGAAACCACGTGCCGTTTTCGTGCCCTTAACTGAAAATGGCCATAACTTCCCCCGCCCCTCACCGTTTGGTGTCAAACAATAGCCCTGAGCCTGTGGGTTTCGGAAAACCAGGTCCGGTCGCCCGCAAATGCTTCTAGAAGGTTATAGAAGCCCTGAGGGCATTTGGCTATATCTCTCATGGGAAGCACGGGCAAGGTCCCAAATTTTGTCCCTCTATAGCAAATCGACCTCGCTGAGTCCGAATCCGGGCTCAGAATTTGACTCCGATGCCCATAGACTCAGATGCCATAGACACAGATGCCCATAGACGCAGATGCCCATAGAATCCGATATCGAGAAAATTTTAAGAGCGTCTAGAAGCAGCTTAATGCGCGTCAGCGCATTCAAATATACAAACGCTTAACACACTTACCCACAAACACAGACTCCACATATATTTATATTTTATTTTTTTTACTAGCACCGAAGGTGCTAGTAAATTCACTAAAATAAAAGGTAAGTAACATTGTAAGAGAGAAAAATGTACTTAAAAATTCGTGCTGAAACAAATGTAATTCTTCATTGATTTTGACTCGAAAAACCGACCAAAAATTGCAATGAGTCAAGAAATTAATTGTTGTTACGGACTCGGCTCAACTACAGAGTGTTAATGAGGTCAAAAAGCAAGGAATTCCATATATAAAAATAGGGTAACAATTTCAAAATTAGCAAAAACTCGCATCATAATTGTATGGCTTATAATTAAGAACTCACGGAATAAACGACGAGGTAGAAATATGTAACAACAGAGCCAAAAACTATGGCGCAGAATATCTTTATGGAATCATTGACATACGGTTTCATTTGGGATTAGCGGCGCGTTTTTGAAAAAGTGCGTAACACTTGATTTGGCAAAAACTCTTCCGTTTTGTGACCTTCTAAGAATGAATAAAAAATCTTTACAGCTTTGCAAGAAGGAATTTTAGGAATGTGAATATAAAATCAATAAATACCTCGAATTGCGATGGAAGAATTTGCGCTCACATTAAGCCTAATTTATGTTTATTTGGACTCAATAAACAGCGAAAATCATAACAAGGTATTGGCCGTAACAATAAAATTTATTCGTGGAAGCGACACTAATCCGCATTATATTGTCGCACGGCCTTGTTCGTTGAGTATCAAATTCACTCGCCTTGTTCACCGATTAGGCAAACACACCTGAAACATATACGGGAAATGTAAGGCAGAAATGAATGAAAGTGAAAGAAATAGTATAGAGGTGAGAGAACGCATAGTATTTTGGTAGTCATGGTTTTTAGCGCAATTGTTATAACTTTAATTATTAATATTATCGGATATTGTAGTTAGAAAGTTTATGGCGTGTAACAACCAGGTAATTAGGTGGCAAGCATTGTTCGAAAAATTGTTCAGGAAATAATTTCTCACTCCATCTTGTCTGATCTGAGAGACTAACATGAAAAATTGAAAATGGAAATAAAATATTCAAATTAAAAAAATTACATTTGCAAGATAGGCAGCTGCCGTCTAATAGTAAATAATAAATTAATAGTAAGCAAAATGGCATAAATAGGACTTTTTGGAAAAGGAATACCTGAAATTAATTTAAACAAATTTTGGAAAGACAATAGTTTCGGATTAGAATTTACGTGCTTAGAGCACATTTCATAATTTTATTCGCATATAAATTTTTATGTAAACATAGATATGTTTTTCGGACGCGTAAAAGTGGAATCGTATATTTCACCTTCCTAAATTCCATTTCACCTTCGACATTTCACCTTCCTAAATTCCAAATTGCCTATAACTTCGTTTTTGTCCTTTTTCTCGCATAATTGCATAATTTATGACTCTATATCAAATTTTTACATAGGTAAGAGGTAAAAAGTATGATACATGCACAAGATACACGGCAATAGGTAAGAGGTACCTCTAGATTGCTGTGCTTTTTTACTTTCAAGTGAAAAAAAGGATGAAAATGCATTGGTTACACATTTCAATGATCGTTGAAATGTTTTGTTGTTGGGACCTCAAGATTGGTCTAAAAATCGATATTTCATATCAAACACCGGGCCCTGCTTGAAAATTTTCCGGTTACTCCAATACATTAGTAAATTTAAATGAAACTTCTAATCTTTCTATTTAATTAACACTCTTCACCACTAACACATGGCCTTGGTTTTCCTTCTCCCCTTCAGTTCCAACCATAGCTGAGTTGGTAGAGCGGATGACTGTAGAGTACAACGAAGCCATCCTTAGGCCGTGTGGTTAACTCACTCTGGTTGGAGTTCTTTTGTTCTCTTTCCAAAAGTATGTTTTTATTATTTTTGTTACTTTTTACCGCTCGTGAATTTTTTAGATAGCGAAAAATTCTATCCACATCATATAAGGATAGAATGACGAAAATTTGGAGATTATAATAGCAAATTATTCGCTTATGTTGCAGTTTTCTTTCTATTTTCAATAAAACATTTTGTTATCATAAGTTATATAAGTACTAAGAGATGCCTGAAGTAATGTGTTACAACTTGCAAAATTATTAAAATGGCGTAGAAAAGAGTTCCGACAGGGCAAATGGCGATTTGAATTTGCGCCAATACATAATTGCATGCCAAAGGGGTTAAAAGGGGCCACTGAAAATTTTTAATGAGGGGGATTACTCGACAGGGGTCTCCTCCAGAGATTGGTAAAAAAATTTGAGTGGGGCCTTATTAGAATAAAAATTTTCACAGTCAACACTTTTCCCTATTAGAGGAGGCTCTGTTCAGCATCAGGAAAAGAGCCTCCTCTAATAGGGAAAAGTGTTGACTGTGAAAATTTTTATTCTAATAAGGCCCCACTCAAATTTTTTTACCAATCTCTGGAGGAGACCCCTGTCGAGTAATCCCCCTCATTAAAAATTTTCAGTGGCCCCTTTTAACCCCTTTGGCATGCAATTATGTTTTGGCGCAAATTCAAATCGCCATTTGCCCTGTTGGAACTCTTTTCTACGTCATTTTATAGCAAACTGACAAATTTTGGTACTAATGCAACATACCCATTTTCTATAAAAATGCAAGGAAAACATATGAAAAATGAGGTGATCAGTGCCGAAAAATGAATTTTTCAGTACAAAATTTGTGATCTCTAAAATATTTTTATTACATTTCCAGAATGGTAAGAAAATTCTGCATCAGATACCGAAACAGAATTTGGAATTCACAATTGCATCATGAGCTACCGAAATTTTAGCGATCAGAAATTTTTCCTTGTATGTTTCATTAGTATCAAATTTTTTCAGTCTTGTTTCCATAAATAATACCACTTTACATTGAGTCGGTTGTTGTAGTGGCGTCTCTTGAAAACAAGCCATTGACAAGGAGTGATGACGGCATTTTTATCTAACAGACATTTCATTGACGAACGGTTTTCTTTTACTTAAACGACATTTGGAGACATTTTCATCCGGGGACCAAAACCCTTTTACTGTTTTCCTACTGCGAGAATGTCTTGGGGCTCATAATTAGATAAATATAAACTTGAAAACAAACCATTGTCAAGAGTGAGGAATCATCACCGATGACGGCACTTTGACGCAAATGACATTTTGGGTTCCGATTTCAACCGGGAACCTCTGTAATTGTTTCCCAATACCGAGAATGTCTTGAGGCTTGTAACAAAAATTTAATAAATAGAAACTTCAACTAAATAAAATTACCGCTAATGTCATTTATTTCCAGCAGTTTTAGTAACGCAGCAGAATATTGCCAGTGGCGGCATTCATTTTGACATTTTATGTGTCCTTAATGCTCTCCTTCCAGTTTTGAGATTACAGTCATTCTATAATCATCACAGAAATATTACACAAAATTCTTATAGCGTAAAACATATTCATTTGTAGTTATAAAAAACTGAAAATGTTTTTTGCTTTCCCTTAATACCGTTATTTATCCCGCAATTTATTTATTCTGGCCAAAGAAAATTTACCCAAAAAGACTATTTTCTGATAAATCCTTTTATGCGTTTTTAGCTTGTTATCGAAAAATATTTTTGTAACATAAACGACTCTTTTTTCTGTTTTGAATTATTTGAGAAAATATGTGAAAAAATATTTTTGTAACAAAATGGCTGTTACCAAGTAGCAAACCAATGTTTGATTATAAGGGCGAACAGAATTGCTTACTTACTCCCTTACTGAAAACAATCTATCAGTCATCAGTTTAAAGTCAAAATAATAATGTTATTGTAATTAGTTACAATTTTTAGTTGTTCCAAATGGAATCCAACGCTACAATTGTGATCCCAAATTGTACTTTCACATGGTTTCATTCTTTTGAAGGAATAAAGTCGAGTCTTGGAGTTGTTGGGGCCTTATTGAATTTTGTTTTAGTATATGTGATCTTCAGGAATAAGTTTGTTTATTAATTTTAAAGATTACAAATTTTTGATTTTTAATTTGGATTCTCGCGAAATATTTGATAACTAGCGGGATATGGTGCCTTTGGCACCGAAATAATATTAAGCGCCCCTTTCCTCGGGCCTACGGCCCTCGCTCGGCTTCACCCGGCCGCACCTTCGCGCCGCTCGGCCGGGTGTTCGGGAGTCTATATACACATACCCCAGTGGCTTTGTCAGCGGAACCTCGCGGCCTTCGGCCGTGGCTTTGGCAGCAGAGCCGGGGCGAATCTGACTGCAGATTCTGATTCCCCATAGTCGAAAACCCCCTGGTACCAAAAATTTGGGTCGGAATCCCGGAAAACACGAATTTCGAAAATTTGTAATTTGTAGTCTGAGACCGTGACGGAATGAATGAATCAGTCAGCGCCAGAATTTGCGGATTACTATATAAAGGATATAATTTATTTTAAAATATTAACTTTTGAAAATAAATATCAAAATTAACAGAATGCCAACACTGTGCCAAAAATTACCGGAATCGCAAAAATATGTTCATATTTTATTTGCAATGTGAAAAACTAGGACTAAAACAACACAAATATCTTTTTTATTACCACATACTGAGGCATAATTTTGTTCAGGAACCTCCATAGCCCATGCGGCTTTTTGATTGCGTCAAGTTCCTTTTGTATCGCTCATTGGCAAATGAATTTAATGATTGCTTTTATTCTCGTCGAGTTGGATGCCAATATACTTTCGACCGCCTTTTGTATTTTCATGCAGGCATATTTGGTCAGTTTTTCAAGCTATATACAAATGTACGGCAATATAGATGTGGTCGAGCCATTTCGCTCTTCTGGCTAATTCTGAGTCAAACATTTTGAAAGTTTGATTCACAGAACTAGTCCTTGGATTAGTCTTTTGGAGTTATGAGAAACTGGCTAGATCTCAAACGAAAAACCTCAAAAATTTGAATATTTAAATTTTTGCATGGGATTTCGTACAATTTCTTCAACATTTTGTTTACCCGAAAGTCGGCAGAAAACAAGATTTTATGAGGTTTTTGACCAAATTAGTTTCTGATCAAATTAGTCAGAATTTGATATTATTTTTTATTTGGTCCTACTACGAAAATATGGATTTTGCACTATTTTAACCCAAAAGGACGACTCGTTATAAGACCAAGTATAAACTAATGTCAAATTCAGCGTGGTCGATATCCCCTTTGAAAACAGTTTCCTGACGACTTTCAAGAACTTTGGTACCGTTTATTCTGAACGCGGCCCTTTATTTATGGAAATTTTTTAGGTGTTTGCTATGCAGGGCATGGAAGTGCTTATTCTTTTTATCGCATTGGACCGTTTATTTAATGTAGCACTACCAACATGGTAATGAATGAAATTATATTTTACTTTTATTGAATTTTAAACCGCTATTAGATATTTCTAATTTAATTCCCCAACCATTTCTCATTTGCAGTGGCGTACGCAGGACACAAATTTTTGCATATTTTTGCCAAAAAGTGGCTATTTTTGGTCAGAATGCCAAAAAGCGCCAAGATGAAAAATGTACCAAATATTGTCTACTACAACTTTCATATGGGCCCGAGGGGAGGGTTTAATGATTTTCGAGCCGCAAAATCCAATTTAAGTAAAAACTGCGCACACTACTGCTCTCTAGACACACTATTTCCACACTATCTCTTTCTCTGGATTTCCTGTTTCCATTAAAGCCGCTTTAAAGATTTCTAACTTCCATTAAAGACGCTTTCTTCACACATTCATTATGAATAAACAAATCAAAATAAATTTTTTGGGTTAAAATCCAATTTTTTTGCCCTATTTATTGAGGCATCCGCACAAATTTTGGTAAGCATTGTTCTCATGGGATGGTAGATCGTAAACTCTCTAATTTAACCCCACCTCTAATTTTATCCCTCCCTCTAATTATCCCTCCCTCTAATTATGCCCCCTCTGGAGCTCGATTGAATAATTATACCCCCCGGGGTTAAATTAGAGAGTTTACAGTAATTTGCTTATTATAGGATTTTATTTCTTGAAAACGGAGAAATTTATTTTCTTATATTGATTCTTCGAGTTCAATTTTGATTTTACAGGACTCGAAATTTGCAGAAACAAAATTATTTCTTGATAATGTTGACCATTGCTGTGGCTTATGTTGGCTATTCTACGTATGAGTGTGTTGATTCCGCCATTAGAATACTGAAAGGAATGTAAGTAGCACAGACAAGTGATACAAATATATTAAACCTCATCTATTAATTATTATAGCAGGCAAAATTTGGAACGTTTTTCATTTTTCTTTTAATTTTTTCTCAAAAGTGGCTACTTTTACACAAAAATATTCGAAAAATTTTTGGAAGATCCTACCTGAAACCCACGAGGAGGCCAAAAAGTGTCGAAAAATGGTCTCAGAGTTTGATAAATCGCAAAAAATGTCCATCTTCGGATAAAAATGTCTCAAAATATTAAAATTTTTAAAGAAGTAAAATTTTAGAAATTTACGGTATATTTTATGTTAAGCGGGAACAAAAATATTTTATATATTAAAAATTTCAGTGACTCACTTAAGTGCGTTTGTTTCGACATTGCTACGCCGAGGGTGGTGCAATTTATGATGATATTTAATGCTTGCTCAGTTTTTTGTTACATTGTTCTCTGGCTTCTTCTCAAGTTTAAAAGTGGACTATTTAAAATTTTATTTTTGGCATTGAACAAAAGAATGGATTTTAGGTAAAAGCAAAGTTAATAAGCGAATATTCAAAGCACTGGCAATTATAATGCTCGTTGACGTTTTGGGATGGAGCAGCAGTACGATTATTTGGAATCTATCGGCTTTTGTAAAATTTAGTCCCATGGTGGAATACTACCTAAGGACCGTTATACAATT